ATAGATGACGGCAACTTTTTAAAGACTACAATTTATCAGGACAAAACAGTCTGACTGACTGTTTCGATGATACAATCATACTGATCGAATTTTGCAGGAATTACGGATAAATTACTAGGCTAGTCATTTGTTACCTTATGAAAAATCTCCATGGCTGTTTAGTTCGAGGGTCACGCAGGAAGCTCTTAGTCTAAGCATTCAAGGCAGGGTAGTATCCTATCATTCGCTTCAGGGGACTGAGGTATTCAGGCTAGTGGAAAGTAATGATTTAAATCATGAGAAGTCATTTACGGAAGATTCTTACGAGGTTTTTCGGAAAATTGACAGAAGCTGACTGCTGGTAATTTTAATTTCAACATTGAAGGAGAAACTGTAGGCAGTTAACTATTGAATATGTTTTTTTACCAGTAAATCTTTTATCGATCGGAATAAGTTGTAATATTGATAAACCCCAATGGCCACCATTTAAACATCGAAGAAAACCTGATATTCTAGTCACATTGGAGTAAAATTTAGGACAAAAATAAGCGTTTTTTTCATATATCGCTGATGGATCATTTTGCGTCAGTAAAATTACGGACTGGGAGTTCGATTGCGAGATGAACGAGAGGTGCCGCTGTTGGCAACGAACCATTACAGACAGCTGCTAGCCATGCAAAGGGTTATCAATATACTGTCGCCTAGGTATCTGAGCACAAAACAATTAGTGGTGATATGCATGCAAAAGGAAAATATCTACAATGACCATTCTGCGTCTCAACCTCAGTTGGGGGGACTTACACAAGCTTCGTTTTCTTTGACTTAGATGTTTTGGAAGCGCTTAAAATCTGTGAACCTAAAAAGTTATGATGGAACTTCTGTCGCACGTTCTCGCACACTATGCTCTATTAACTGACTAATGTTCACACATGGCGGCAAGGTTAGGCAAGTCCAACTGCAATTGTTAAAAATACTTTTTCTATCTTGTTTACTATTGTAGGCAGATTAAGCGTCTGACCTGATATTGGAGAAAGTAAATACACTCTATCATTCTTAGGTTCAAATACTTCTGTAAAAGGGGGAGTAAACTTCGGTTTTGTTTTATTCCAATCCCGCAAATTAATCTGGTAAGATGAAAAGTTATTGAAGCTCTCCAAAACTTAGAGCAAAAATATTGATTTAGTCGCTTTGATTCTACAGTACTGGATCCACTACCTACTTTCGGGTGGCCCTTAAATCTATAGACAACTGTCGAGTTCATTCTTTGTGAATAAGGAGACACGATCGCTGGGTTAAGCGCTTTATTAGCCTGACGTTTCGGATTCCTGCTCGAACACATCATCAGAGACAAGAGCAGGTACCGGTGGTTCATGCACAAGGGGCTGCAGTATTTATAGGACGCAGTCGTCATGCTACCGCATACCTATAAATATTCACGTCTCCCCCACCCCCTTCATCAGGGATTATTTCGCTTGACGTGATGACTGTTTGATGGCCGATATCGTGTCGTTCATTGCTGCAATCTCATCATGTGCGTTGGATGTTGGTCTGATGATTGCTCGACCATCTGAGGCACTGACCTTGGTGTTGGGAACAGTGTTCACATGTGCCCTCCCCGCGTACCTAATCACTCCGCCTAGGCTAAGTCTTAGCACCGAGTATGGAAGGGGAAGGTCCTTTCGCTTGTTAATGGACTGGGGGCCAGTAAACCATTAATCAAGCAGCTCCCGGCTCACGCGGTTACCACCTCTAGCGAGAATTTCGGCCTTATCGAATTTGAATGTGTGGCCGGATCTCGTCGAATGAGCCGCAACTTAAGAGCTGACGCGATTTCTCCGCACCGCTGCGGCGTGTTCGGCTATCCGCGTTTGGAGATATCTTCCGGTTTCTATGACGTAGTTGCTTTGTCTGCAACTGCACCAGATTCAATAAACGACTCCAGACGTTTCTAGCCGTGGCAGCGTACCTTTCGGTCTTATTATCTGATGCCTGATGGTTGTCTCCGGTCTGTGTTCATTCTTTATCAAACTGGTGAGTAGATTAATTGCAGCTTTGGTTATCCTTCGCATAGTATAGTCAGATCTAAAATGTGCAAGCCCAGACAATAGGCCATCAGTAATTAGGATAGCCACATAACTTGGAGGCAGTATACTGACTAGAACAGCTGACAACATTCAAGGAATGTCTCATGAAAACAGTTTATGAAATCTTGATTGTATAAACGAAAGAAGAAGTAAACAATATCCGTCTACCTCTATAAATGTCAGTCGGACTACAACCGGCTGGGTGGTTCAGATGATAGAAGAGTTAGACAAGGGAATAACAAACGTGATCGAACGTACGGAGTCCCCTGGGGAAGGCGGCTGAGGAGTAGGGACAATTTTGTCCAACTAAATTCAACAGACCAGTAGGCGAACATACGCAAGTTCGGAGTAACTACTCATCAAGCAATTGCAATAACGAATAGTAAATGCGGAGGTATTCATAAGTAGAATAATGGAGATCAGTACGTTGTACCCTCAAATTCAAGGTAGGTGGGAGTCTGTAAGGAAGATTATGCATACAATAGGTGGGCTAAATCATGAAATGTCAACCAAAATTCCGAAATACGTTTTCGGTTCGAAAAGATTAATTAAGCAGGGTTGTAAAACTAATCAGCCTGCAGCATAATTCTACAATAATTCTGTTACCACATGGTGCCGGCTTTCGAACGAACTTCCTTCCGGCCGCATGCAAAAACTGCTCTCTATAAAAAATGACTACTTACGTAGCGTGCATTTTTCTCATCGATTTTCGATGTCCCTAAAAGTTCAATTATATTTCATGGAAAACATGAATAAAAACATTCATTTTTTCGTTCATTCGGTAGAAACCTGTGTCGTTTTCGAATTCCATACTCGAAGCAAGAGTAGAATTCGGTTCTCAAAAATTTCTGATTGTGAGATTATTTAATACCGATAAATGGCCGTCCATTAAATGTCATGTCTCTGCATATACCAATGTGGCTTGTAAATTTAATAATATGAAACAAACACGTAGCTAAATTTTATGAACCTTATATGGTTTCCTTTTAAAACCTTAGGGAAAATTTGTGGTTTTTCGTGCACGGAAAATACACGGCTTGTAGTATGGAAACCCTGGATGCAAGTATAACGGCAGAGCGGGTTCAAAATTATTCGGGAATTGGAAACGTTTTTGAAAATCGAATACCACCCTCCCTTCGAGTGCTAGAGTGGAAGAAGACGTAATTTACTACCGAATGAGCGAAAGATAAATATTTTTATTCATGTCTTCCATGAAATATAATTGAACTTTTAGGGGCATGGAAAATCAACGAGAAAAATGCATGTCACTTAAGTAGTCCTTTTTTACAGAGTTCAGTTTTTGCATGCCGCCGGAAGGAAGTTCGTTCGAAAGCCGGCATCCTGAGGTAACTGAAATATTGTAGAATTATGCTGCAAGCTGATTAGTTTTACAACCCCACTTAATTAATCTTTTCGAAGCGAAAACGTACTTTGGAAGTTTGGTTGACATTTCATGAGTTAGCCCACCTACTGTAATTCAGTTGAAGGATGTGTGCGGGGAATTAGTCTTCTCCAGTGCGCACATTAGTGTCCGCGTAATTTGACCCAAGTTATGACTTCTGTAGAATCTGCAGGAAGTTACCTATGACCACCAGACCGGTTTGTCTAAAGGGACTCCGTTATCCCCTCCGTCCCAAGCAGGCGGCGTCACGATGATATATAAGAACTCTAAGGCACTCAACCGATCACCCAGAAAGTTTCCTTGACCTGAGGATAGGATGGGACCTTTGCCTTATCATTCTCACCACATCGGCGTGTTCACTCACCGCTTTCCTCAATGACGTATTTTCTGGACGAGACAGCTTACTCCGTGAGCACAGTTGAAGCGCCGAAATTGCAATAAGACAGTTGAGATTGACGAATTTGTTTTACTCGGGGGATGTTGAACTAGACCAGTGACGAATACTCTTCAGGTCAGTTTAGCCCACATGACCACATCACTTCGCCCCTCCCCACACTTTCATTCACTTTACTACCCCGACTGTAAAAACCCAAACTTTAAGCTGACTACTTAGATTACTTAAGTTGGGCACTTACTCAAGTCGGCAAACCTTTTGAAATTGATGGAGCAGTAACCTAACTAGTGGGACATTTAAGAAATTGGTCAGGCAGGCATATCAAAGAGGCGTAAGCAGCAGCATACTAAATGCTATGGTAACTAATTGCAAACACTGTAATAAAGATCCCTTGGGAAATTGTGGTAAGGGGGGGAGATGAGGGGGAGAAGCAAAGTGGAAGGAAGTATATTGAAAAAACAAAAGGTGTCATGTGAAGGAGTAGCGCATTGAACACCAGAAGCATATGGGCAGTAGTAAGAGGAGGCACGTCAATAAGCGAGGCACCTTTCAACACTCAACGCAGCGCCATGGAAACGGAAGACGCAGGCTCACAGGGATTCGGGCAGTTAATGTTAGGCAGCCCGAAGTAGGGTGGGGGGGGGGAGAGCATGTTGAGACAATCTGCAAAATGTACGCATTAAACAGTAACACAGTTAAAAAAAACATGAGTGTGACCGCCCACAACAATTCGAGGGTCGTTTCCTCAGCTAGTCGCATTCCACTTTTTTGCATATTGTCAGACCAACTGTACCGGCAGTCGTCCAGATTTGGAAATGTTACAAGTGTCCGACCCTGTGTGTAGACTTAAATTCTCTGTTAGGTCATGTAAGAATTAGGTTACAGCCCACGCGCAAACCAACTGACTAAGTAAGCTCAGGTGGTACTAGTGTTTTTGCAAAGCACAAGATGAGTCCAGAGGAAGAGACATTCGCGTCAACATTATTGTATACAATTACTGTGAAGCAAAAGACTGGACCTGTGAAACGAGGATTTCTTCTCTCTGGTGCTTCGGAATCATACCGACCCTTGTGATCAGAGACAGCAAGAGATAAAAACAGTGGACGCACACGTGATGAGGCATTTATGGAATGCATTCATCATGGAACTAGATCAGCAGTTTGAAGAAGAACAACAACAACAACAAGAACAAGAAGAGGAAAAGGATGAGAAAGGAGGAGTGGAGAAGAAGAAGAAGAAGAAGAAGAAGAAGACAAAGGAGGAGGAGGAGGAGGAGGAGAAGAAGAAGAAGAAGAAGTGGAGAAGAATAAGAAGGAGTGGAGAAGAAGAAGAAGAAGAAGAAGAAGAAGAAGAAGGGCTCACCGGAACAGGTTTATTTAGATGCTGAGGTTTCGAAGAGCTTGGTCGGCTCTCCATTGTCAATGCGTAAAATGCACCTTATCGACCAGAGATCCCAAGTGGAGTGTCACGTTGGTCGGCCTCGTGCTGATCGATTTTTCTCTCCTCTCACTGCCTCGGCCTCTCGGGGGATGTTTGACGGTCGTTTTGTCTCCGTGCTTTGTGAGTCACCACTCCGTCGGGGGGAGGTAACTGAACCAGTGTCGGGTGATCGGTCTGGCGGTTCTTGTTCTTCACCGAGGCGTAATTCTCCGATGCCCAATCCATCAACAGCCATATGAACCTTCCTGCAGCTTACAAAGTCCTACGTCATCACAATCGTAGAGCTCAGGGCCAAACAACCACACCGGACTTAAGAAGGCCATACGGAGACAGCCCAACGGCGAGTTTACTCAGTGAAGAGGAACAATAACAGCCTGGCCGACTACCCGACACTGGTTCAGTTACCTTCCCCCGACGGAGTGGACGTCTCACGGAGCACGCAGACAAAACGCCCGTCAATCATCCCCCAAGAGGCCGAGACAGCGAGAGGAAGGAAAAATCGATCAGCACTAGGTCGACCAACATGACGCTCCACTTGGGATCTCTGGTCGATTAGATACATTTTACGCTTTGACAATGGAGAGCCGACCAAGCTCTTCGAAAAGTCAGCATTTAGAAAAACCTGTTCCAGGGGAACTCTTCTTCTTCTTCTTCATTTTCTTTTTCTCCACTTCTTCTTCTTCTTCTTCACTTCTTCTTCTTCTTCTTCTTCTTCTTTCTTCTTCTTCTTCTTCACATAGTCAACTTCGGATCTCTCAACTTTGCCAACCTGAATAAATAAGCAATCCCATATTTATCACAGATGGTCGCACGTGGTGCGATGGGTACTTGATCGTCCCCCACCCTTAGTCGTCACTTGCCGCGACTTCATGACCGGTGTTTGGTGATCGGTATAAAAATTACTCGGCCGTTTGGCTCACTGATATTCTCACCGGAAACAGTGTCCCCCCACACTGATGACTGATGAGATAACGATACACCGGCACTGTATGCGTGGTTGATTACTCTGTCGAGAGAGAGAGAGTTTCAGCATTGAAAAGGGAAGAGAGAGATCATTGCGCTTGTTGGTGGACTGCAGACCGGTGAACCATGACTCGATTGTCGTCTTTTGCATGAATATAGACCTCGCCGGAATGGGTCAGGTCGGGTTACGTCACATGAACTGTGACATGGGAGTCGACAGCATTCTTCCTCACAGGCGCGTGCTACAGTAGGTGGGCTAATTCATGAAATGTTAACCGAAATTCCGAAATGCGTTTTCGTTTCGAAAAGATTACTAAAGTAGGGTTGTAAAACTAGTTAGCCTGCAACATGATTCTATTATATTTCAGTTACCTCAGGATGTCAGCTTTCGAACGAGACTCCTTACGGCTACATGTTGAAACTACACTCTGTAAAAAATGATTACTTAAATAGCATGCATTTTTCTCATTGATTTTCGATGCCCCTAAAAGTTCAATCATATTTCATGGAAAAAAATGCATAAAAATATTCATTGTTTTATTAATTCGGTAGATGGTTGCCTGTTCGGGACCCCTATCTCCCATACGAAGCTTGTTTGCTTCGGGAAGCCAGTGAATCGGTGTGCGCCCAGCCCTGAGTGAATATACATAAATACATACATACATAATAACATGGTTTTACCGACAAAGACAAGGGAGACTGGAATGACTACTTCTGGCTCATTAGTCGTCGTCAGCCAGCCATACCTAAGCCTGAAGTGTGGAACACCTGAGGCTCGAACTCGCGACCTGTTAGTTAGAAGTCCTATGTAAAAAACAGAAACGTCACAACGTTTGAAACAGCACTTTATGTAGCCCTCCATGAAATAGCGTAATATGCAATATGGCAGCTAGTCGACTACCCAGTGTTTGTTTGGTTAATTCAAAAACGTTAGCAGCATTCCAGAAAATATTATCGTTTATGCATTTGTTGGAATGTAGTCAAGAAAATCATTAACGTTGTTTTTGGGAGGTAGACGTTGCTGAAATAACAGCTTTAATTAGGTTATATGCTGAGGCCGGTCAGATACTATGATACTGAAATATAATCAGAAACTGCAATCAGAATCATTGCCGTTCCGCAAAATTTCTGCCTTCCATCCGGCGATGGTGGGATGCGCCGAGTTTTAGGACGTCCTTGAAATGTCAATGAAGACATTGCGATATTAAGTGCTCTTGAGCTACTACCTTAGCAGACGTTCTGCAGTTTGCGTCAATTAAAACCTATAAAATAACATAGTTATTGGAAGCAGTCATCTAGGTAGCAAGATCTTGATCGTCATTATTGTAAACTCACCCAAACATACATCGTGAACGTCGTGGAAAGTTGACATTCGAAACTATGCCTTTTGATAAAAAGTAGTCTGGATTAAATTAAAAAAGCACGTTTACAAGAAATGTGCTTAAAAAGTACTTTCTAATGTACGTCTTTGATGGAAATCCTCGCATTTTTTCCAAATGAAAGATATGCGAAAAATGAAAAACCGGAAGCAGATGATTTTTTGCAATAAGCGAAAAACTCTCTTTTTTCTTCAATTGGAACCACTTCGTTACATTTGCCCTTTTTAGACTCCGTTCAACGATTCCACGTTCACCACAATGGGGACATTGATGAAATGGACAAAATTCTCAAACAGGAAAAGTGGTTACCATTCTCTTTTCAAATCACACAGTAGGCAGGCAAATAATATCCCACATTATGCGCAAACGCCAAAATACACCCTCTGCGGTGGGCCTTTTCGCCACAACCTATGGCATGTTTGCATATGCCCGGAAATTATGGGTCTGTGCAAACAAACTGTAGCCAATTGCCACCAGTAACGCTCTGAAGGGCGAAATTACGTAGATTTGCAAATTAAACCTTTCAAGTAGACAAACCTACTGCTTTTTGTTTAATTATTAACGACTTATCCACGCCTTGCTTCGCCTGATGTACGCGAAATAAAAAGATACTTTTCGTGTTGGCGACGATCGTTTTGGGTCTAAAATGCAAAGATAACGTGATTGTTTGCTTCGGAAGGCCAATGGATCGGCGTGTGCTCATTCCTGAATGCATATATACCTGATCTGCAGCGACGGTGAATGACAGGTGGCGAGGCACTGATGAACTTCGGTTCGATGAAGTGCTTATGACCCATCTGGTAGACCCCAGTGGTGTGCCAGCTGCGTCAGGTATGTCTGTGCGCATGTTTGTGTTTCCCGTCCCAGCTGGTGGTCAGGGTTATGATTGGCTGAATAAAGACAAACAAGCCCGAAAAAGTGCTGTATCAATCTACCCCCACACTCTGTCGTCTCTCCTCCGCTACCCTAGCTTGGCCGAAGTCGGTCTGGTAGGTGGTGGCCCGTTCGGGACCCCTTTCTGCCATGCGAATCTTGTTTGCTTCGGGAAGCCAATGGATCGGTGTGTGCCCAGCCCTGAGTGAATATACATAAATATACATAATAACATGGTATTAACGACAAAGACAAGGGAGACTGGAATGACCTTTTCTGACTCATTAGTCGTCGTCAGCCAGTTATACGCAAGCCTGATGTGTGGAACACACGAGGCTCGAACTCGCGACCTGTTAGTTAGAAGTCCACGACTCTAACCACTTGGCCGTAAGAATAATCCGTGAGCGCCATTCTACCAGAACATAATATGTATAAATTATAGTACATGTTCGTGAAGATACCTCTGTAAAAAACAGAATAAACGTCACAACGTTTGAAACAGCACTTTGTATAGTCCTCCATGAATTATCGTAATATGCAATATGGCAGCTATTCGACTACCCAGTGTTTGTTTGGTTGCTTCAAAAAACGTTAACAGCATTCCTGAAAATATTTTCGTTTATGCATTTGTTGCAATGCAGTCAAGAAAATCATAACGTTTTTATTGGGAAGTAGACGTTGTGGAAATAACAGCTTTGATTAGGTTATATGATGAGAGGCCGGTCAGATATTATGACACTGAAATATAATCAGAAACTGCAAGCAGAATCATTGTCGTTCCGCGAAATTTCTGCCTTCCATCCGACGATGGTGGGATTTGCCGAGTTTTAGGACGTCCTTGAAATGTCAATGAAGACATTGCGATATTAAGTGCTCTCGAGCTCCTACCTTAGTATACGTTCTGCAGTTTGAGTTAATTAAAACCTATAAAATAACATAGTTATTGGAAGCAGTCATCTAAGTAGCAAGATCTGGATCGTCATTATTGTAAACTCACCTAAACATGCATCGCGAACGTTGTGGAAAGTTGACATTCGAAACTATGCCTTGTGATAAAAAGTAGTCTGGATTAAATTAAAAAAAGCACGTTTACAAGAAATGTGCTTAAAAAGTACTTTCTGGGGTACGTCTTTGATGGAAATCCTCGCATTTTTTCCAAATGAAAGATATGCGAAAAATGAAAAACCGGAAGCAGATGATGTTTGCAGCAAGCGAAAAACTCTCTTTTTTCTTCAATTGGAACCACTTCGTTACATTTGCCCTTTTTAGACTCCGTTCAACGATTCTAAGTTCATCACAATGGGGACATTGATGAAATGGACAAAATTCTCAAACAGGGAAAATGGTTACTAGTCTCTTTTCAAATCACACAGTAGCAAAAATTGGCCAGGCAAATAATATCCCACATTATGCGCAAACGCCAAAATACCCCCTCTGCGGTGGGCCTTTTCGCCACGACCTATGGCATGTTTGCATATGCCCGGAAATTATGGGTCTGTGCAAACAAACTCTAGCCAATTGCCACCAGTAACACTCTGAAGGGCAAAATTACGTAGATTTGCAAATTAAACCTTTCAAGCAGCCAAACCTACTGCTTTTTGTTTAATTATTAACGACTTATCCACGCCTTGCTTCGCCTGATGTACGCGAAATAAAAAGATACTTTTCGTGTTGACGACGATCGTTTTGGTAAGTTATTCTCGTTTAAATAAATGCCCTCTAGAGTTGCGAAAATTCGCATGGCAGTATTCAGAGGACAACGTGACGAGCATACGTTTGCTTTCGACAAATTTCCTTTAAGCCGGTACATTTATATGGGAAGGGGGTCAAGTAAAACCCGCACACACCCCGCCTTGGTTTTACGACTAAATTTAATCGAGTTCTCTAATTACTGACATGTTTTATTTGACACCGTTCCCATATGAATATACTGGCCTGACGGGAAATGACCTCTTCTCGAGATAGAGCTACAAAATGTGAAACCGCTCTCCGTGACTGCTATTGCCATAGGGAGTTGCCTGAATGCAAGGGTGCGCTGATTTATGTCCAAGCATATAACCGTTGCGTGGATAGAATAAACAACAAATATGGATCTTGAGAGAAAATTACCTTACCGGAAGGCGCTCAACCAAAAGGGAGGGTGCACAACCAACATGTTATTTCGGAAAGATCATATATATATTCTAGTCATTAGGGTTCGTAGGCCTGTGTAGGGAATTCTTAACATTGTTTAGAAATATATTCAGATGCACAGAAACCTTCCCATTATAATAAGTTGGCGTCTAGTTCAAGTAAACTGCGGAAAAGAATTTCAAGATGGGAGGCGGGCACCCATCCAGACAGGAAATGCTTGCTTCGAGATTGTTCCAAATCGTCAATCTAGGGTAGGCACCCCGTTATCATCCGTAGCTCACCGAAGATGAGCTCTGCCTAGCGGCCACACCTCCATAACCGCCTCGACCGGCGGACTAAACCAAATGGGGTAGCCAATGCTGTGTGTTACCACGCTCGGCAACTCCGTTCCCATTCCCATCCCTACCCTCCCTCCCTTCTTTTTCTCCGCTTACCTTCCTCCCCCTCCCCCTTCCCGCTCATTCTCTCCTGCCACCTTTCTCTTTAAAAGGTCCTACGGGCTGTGCGGCATTTGACGCCGTATGCTGCCCAGACTAACTCGGGTCGCTCTCCCACCAAATCAAGCCCTGACGCATAGTAGTATTCAGCAGCCGTTTGGGATGTCTCAGCAGTCGCAGCTAGGAGCAGTAGTGATTGCTCCCAAGCTGGAGATGGGGCTAGAAGGGTGGCCCAAACAGATGCTTGGATCATGTCATCTTCACACAGACTGGGGCTCGCGGGTGCACAACTCACGGTCGAAACAGTCAATAAAATAACGTATCTATCCACGCCCGGCCCCGCCCCAAGTTTTAACATAACGCAACGAGAGAAAACATGTTCAAAAATTCCTACATTGAACGGCACAGGAAACTTTCTAATGTTTTGCATAACGTAGCTTAACGATACAAATTGGTACCAATTAATTGCGTACTCGAGGATGCAATACGGCAGTTGTCTTGGTGAAGTTTGCAACTACATTTGGTGGGCTGAATCATGAAATGTCAATCGAAATTTCTCGTTCGAAAAGATTAATTAAGTAGGGTTGCAACACTAATCAACATGCAGCATAATTCTATAATGATACGGTTACATCACGATATCATCCTTCGAATGAACGTTTTTCCGACCGCATGCAAAAACTACACTCTGCAAAAAATGACTACTTAAGCAACATGCAATTTTATCATTGATTTTCGATGCTCTCAAAAATTCAATTGTATTTCATGGAAAACATGCATGAAAATATTTATTCTTTTAATAATTGTCAGAAAATCGCATCTTCTTCCAATTTTATACTCAAAAGAAGAGTATAATTCGATTTCAAAAAAGGTTCTGCTCGTGAGATTTCTTAATACCGTGAAATGACGGTTCATAAAACGTCACGTATCCGCATTTGCAAATGTGGCTTGTAAAGTTAACAATATTGCTCAAATCTACTGCTTAATTTTATGAACCCCACATGGTCTTCTCTTAATACTGTAGTGAAATGCGTATTTTTCCGTACACCGAAAATATACGGCCCGTTGTTTTGAAATCCTCGATGCAGGTGCAACAGCAGGTCGGGTTCAAAATTATTCCAGAATTAGAACTGTTTTTTAAAATCGAATTATACTCTTTTTGGAGTATAAAATTGAAAGAAGATGCGATTTTCTGGCAAATATTAAAAAATGAATATTTTCATGCATGTTTTTCATAAAATATACTTGAATTTTTAGGAGCATCGAAAATCAATGATAAAATTGCATGTTGCTTAAGTAGTCATTTTTTGCAGAGTGTCGTTCTTGCATGCAGTCGGAAATCAGTTCATTCGAAAGATGACACCTTGATGCCACTGGATCATTATAGACTTATGTTACATGTTGATTAGTTTTGCAACCCGACTTAGTTAGTCTTTTCGAAACGAGAACGCCTTTCTAAATTTCGGTTGACATTTCATGAGTTAGCCCACCTACTGTAGTTATTTTGTCCAAATCCATTGACGCGATCTAGGCTATAGGTCAGGATGATGACTATAACTCCAGTGCAGATGCAGGATGCATAAATGCTCACGGACCGCTCAGTCAACCGTCACATAAACGTCCCTCCTCCTGCTTGGTTTATCGAACCTTCTTGACAGGAGATATGGGAGGCGCCAAATACCCCCGCAGTCACCGAGGGCGGGACGATATAGGTCACGGTGAAACGTGGGCTCCGATTCACCCCCACAGTCGACAGTTCGACCGCCGTTGCCGACGATGTCCACCGTGTGCTCCACAGCAAGGCAAAGCAGGGATGGTGACTTGCGCGTGAATTAGTTTATTGTAAATGTAGACTTGCACAACATCTACCATGTTCTCTACTCCTCCCCCAC